TTTTTTGCCTCCCAACCACTGGGAGCAAGAAGTGAGTGGCGGGGCCCCCCTCCACCAGTCAGAAGTAGGGTGTGCATAGGGGGAGCGTCAAGATTAAAGACCTGACGTGCTGCAAGGTAAGCCTGTGATTTTAAATCCGGCCCTACTCATGAGGTCCTTTCCAGCCCTACCGCCCTATGATCCTATACCTGCTCTTCTTTGAATGGTGCTTTGCATTTCTAATTCTGTCTTGGATCAGCTCTTCTCTTAATAGAGATCTTGGTTTTCCTGCACTAGAAATCCTATCCCTGGAATATTTTAAAACAACAATACAATGTCTGTTCTGTGATTTATACTGCTTTGTGTTGTATGGTTTTGTGATTATTAAGTCACTAGCTCTGTGTTTATCAATATTCTGGGGAAATGGGAATAATCCAGTAGTGCCTCGAGAGGGTAAGAGTGCTTTTTGAGGTCCCCAGACATTATCAGCATGCTGGGCTGTGAACAGTAAAATGTCCTATTACTCGCATCTGGGTGGGGAGCAGGCCAAACGAATTCCCCAGGTGTGGATGGAGAGGTTCCATCTATGTGGCAAAGTTGCAACAAATGACCAAGTGAAGTACTACTAGATACCACCATTATTGAGTATCCCAATGCTCCTTCCTTATCGCTTGCATTTCAGTAGATTTCTCAAATCATTTTTGAACTCTGTGCACACAAATCCTGCAAAGTTCTTCTTCTCTTGATTGGTGTGTGGGACTAAGCACTCGCATGGACCAATGGAAGGGAAGAGGGGATTTTGACCAAGGGCAGTGTTGAATCCTGGCCCATATGAAAAGTGCCCACAGAGAGCCTTAACCCTTTTACTTCCAGACATCTTAAAATGTCAGCAGTGAGAAATGGGTGGTAATAATTGGCAGGCTGCACATGGAGGCTAGAACAGTAGGGAATGAAGCCTAAGTTGACTGAATAGTTGACAGGTGGAGAGATCAGTTGGGTGGGGGAGAGAAGCAGTTATAAATTGTTTGGGACAGTTTCAGTTTTGTAGTGTATGTGCTGGCCTGTTCCTCTGATAGCATATCCAAATTAAAGAGCTCAGTCCATGTGGAAGAGAGAAGTGATTTGCCCAAAGTCAGAGAGAATGGTAGAGGTGGGAATTGAGTGCTACCCTGCTATATTCAGTGCCTGTATGGTGCAGGTTTTGCTTCAGTTCTCTGTAATAGGTGGGAACTTTTATCCATAGCTTTTAGTTTATTTATTCTAACATGGGTTAGGATAGATACCTGGTAGAGGCCTTCGGATGCCCGAAGGGTGTTATAAGTACTGACTCCTGCAAGTTTACATATACTAATTTGAAAACAGACAGGGTAACTTTGATTCCTCATTTGCCGTGCATCACGGGATAACGGTCCTGAGTTGCCAGCAGCTTCTGCTGTATTCTGGGCCCGCTGATTCCTTGTGGCAAAGTTGCAAAGCATTTCTGAAGCAATTCCACAGAGGTTGCGTTGTCTGAGTTTCTCTTCATTGTCTACTTAAGTGACATGAGGCAGTTGCATACCCATGGGATCTTTTATTCCAGAATTAACAAGTCTACCCATATATTTTATATATGAAGTTTATCAGACCTCAGGGTACCCTCTCAGCAGCTAGGGTTACCCAGCAAGCAGGGAGCAGGGCATGCAGTGTTCCTTAAAGGCTCTGATACAGAACACATCTCTTGACACCAACAAGAAAAAATTGCATCCTTCACTGCACCATCCTCACTGAACATATTTTTTTCATTTTCTTGTTACTGCTTTTTTGTATAGCTCTGAAACACTAACTGTAAACTGCTCCTCCAAACTTAACTCCAGGGCCTTCTGTAATAAAACCCTGCTTTATGCAGGGGTTTGACATTTTTCTTTTACCTGAGATCCTTGTGCCATATTTGTTTGCCTATATGTCTGCCCATGTGAGCTGAGGACCAATAATTTGACTCCCATGTTGGCTTATGGATACCATTTAAAAAAAAAAAAAAGCCAGCTGTGATTACAGATGTTGGTTCTCAGGTTGACAGTGGTTTAATTTTTAAAGGAAATGGCTTCTTCAGACACTCCTAACCCTCTAGCAAGCTGCAAGAATCAGCGTGGTTTGATGGGAGCTGACATTTCATTAGGTTGCCTGAGAATACATCAACTTGGAGTGTAAAGGCCCAGAGAGTCTATTCTCCTGTAACAGCTGTGAGTGCAGTGGGAAATGAAGCTGTTGTGAACTATGGAAAATGAGGCATCTCTGAAGCTGCTAAACGTTATGCACGGAACAAGATGTGCACGGGGGTACTTGTGCACTGTTGAAAGGCTTCACATAACCTCAGAAGGATTCTCTTTGCTCTGCTCACTAGCATTTCACAAAGCACTCGGGAACTGAACTATGCCTGTCCAGGGTGAGAAGCATGTGCAATGTTTGAGGCATTAGGAGGTGATATAAGGATTGCTGCTGTGCTAATGAGCACAAGTGGGAAGGCAAAGCATATGGTACAGCCATTAATGAGATCTGGTACCATAGAAATGAAGTTTTCAGCTATACTGAGAGCACCTTGAGCAGAGCTGCCCCTAGGGATGTGCGGGTCCCAGGCATATCAGCCTGTGTGGGGCTTGTGCGGAGGGAAGTGGTGGGTAGCCAGCAGCCAGGGGGGTAGGGGGTTGGCGGTGAGCATCCAGCATGGATTGGGGGGCGGAGGAAGAAGTGGTGGGTAGCCAGCAGCCAGGGGGGTAAGGGGGTTGGTGGTGAGCATCCAGCATGGATTGGGGGCGGAGGAGGGGGAGCGATGAGCAGCCAGAGTGCAAGGCCAGTGGTGCACAGCAGCCACACAGTGGTGGCGCCCTCAGGGCCCATACAGCACTGTCCATGGGGCCCCCCAAAGTGCGAGGCCCGTGGTGGTTGCCCCAATTCGCCCCACCAAGGGACAGCTCTGCCCTTGAGGCTTGTGAGAATTCATTGCCACATGGAAGAACACACAGTTTATCAATGAATTCCTTACATCAGGAGGTTGGAGCTTGCCTGTGACACTTGCTTGGTCAGTTTTTGTAGCATCTGTTTTGGAAAGCTCTGAAAGTTGAAGTACGAAAAAGAATTCAGCATTGTGATGGTAGCATTTCCCTGTAAGTACCTAATCAGACCACGAGCATGGAGTGGGGAACCTAAACTTGAATGCTGAGATTGCTGAAACTTTCTCTCCCTCCCCCTGCAAAGTGGGAGTGAGATACTGGTCTGAAACAGACCCCTGTTGAAAGAAAGATGATATGCTTGTTCACCCGGATCCTTAAGGCTTTGGACTGCCATAGTGAATAGGACATATACAGATGGTTGCTACATGTTGCTGTAGGGACCTGGTCAGCAAATTCAGTGCCTGTGGCAGTACTAGGGAGTAGAAAAGCATTTGAAATTGTGGTATCAAAGGTATGGCCTTAAGGCAGTAGAGGAAGGTTTCCCCTCTTCCCAGAGACCACTGCCTTTGCAATAAGATGACAGAATCCTTTCTTGTTGCTATTATTACTGTCAGGCCTACATATATGGCTTGTTGGACATTCCTCCTTATTTCTTTATCCATAGAGCAGTGTAAAGACCACAGCAAATAGCGGTATAGGTGCTCTGTTGGTGAACTACCTTTGTTAGGAGGACACCCCTTGCAATTTAGAATCGTCTTTGGGATGCTGTCTGTGCGGCCCATTGAATCCTTTCACTACCGATAGAGCTACGCTCTGCACTGCTGTGTGCTTAGAAACTGAAAGCATCACAGTGTCTAAAATTCCCTTGTCTTAATGGCTGCACTTTTGTTGTACAGCCAGAAATGGTGGCCGGTGATGATACACAGGGAGGATACTATCAGCTTAAAATTGTATCCTTGCACCCATTACCTTTGTTAGACCCATCGCAAACTATTAACCCTGTTCCATATATCTGGTTGATTTTATTTAACTTAGTATTCGCTCTCTACACACTGTGTTCCTTTCATTTATCAGAAAGTGCCTTCGCTTCCTGATTCTTCTGCCCTAGCATATGGTTTCTTCATTTTATAACATTGTAGGAGACAGTTTAATCTTCCATAGCATGAAAAAAGACTAATAGCATTCATATCAGCTTTGGTAAACCTGGGGCAGAAATCTCAAGTGCATGTTGTCATACTAACCTAGTATGCAGATACTAGTAGAAAATATTACTTTTTCTGAAGAAGATAAAGACTGTTAAGGAATTCTGTACGTGTGTAGAAGGAATTGCAGTAGCATTCTGCTGTCTGCTGGGAGGCTGTTTTAAACACTGATGCTGTAAGTGAAAGTGAACTATTTGGCTGCAAATACTAAAAAGGCTCCCTGGGACTTGCATACAAACCCCATATTTCAGCTGCTAAAGACTGCTCATTAATAGATCCTAGAAAGCTTAAAGGAGGAGGGCAACATCCACTCAGCTCATGCAGTCAGCAGATCCAAAGGAATTTTGCAAATCTAATAAACTTTCCCTTTCTTCAGCTAATCTTCCTAGTACCTTTGCCCCTTTGAATCGAGAAATTGTCCTTTCCCTAAATACTAAAGCAATATGTATTTCTTACGCTCTTTGCTATAGCTCCATTATTTCCTGAAGGGGATCAGTAGACATGTTCTGTGTTTATCTAGTGGTGTTAAAGAGCAAGATGCACACTTTGCACATTTGCTTTCTTGAACCTTATGTCCTGCCTGGGAGCCCTGTAAACAGTAGGTTCTGGCAGGTGTCAGTGAATGTCCTTGTATATGACTCCTTACTGCAGGGGAAATCCATGTCTGAATTTCTGGTGTGAGTATTAGATATGGTTTTCAGTACAGGCATGTTAGAAAGTGAAGTATTTGTGCCAGGTTTGAAAAGCTTTCTGTGATCTTGGGATGAAAGCTCTTATGAATGTGACATTCATTCAGGGGTTTATTCAGTATTCCTGGGGCTGACCGCTTGAAACCTCTAACTGAGCATACTTGCCAAGATCCTTCACGAGTCTTCTGCTTTCTTGGTTTTAGGAGGAACCGAAGAAAGTTTGCTTTACATACGACCTGTTCCTGAATCTGGAGGGAAACCCACCCGTGAACCACCTTCGCTGCGAGAAACTGACTTTCAACAACCCCACTAAGGAGTTCCGCCGCAAACTTATTAGGGCTGGAGGGGTGAGTGCCAGAAGAACCAGAGATGTGAAGAGGCTTGTTAAAAGGTGTAGCCTGCTCATTTTTGTTGTGAGAGTTTTCTCTCTACTTTAGACGATCTCTTTTTCTGATCAACTTAGCTCTGGTAAATGGTCATATGGCCATTCGTTGCATTTATCCTGGGGTTATCCCAGATTTGGGTTCTGGTGACTTAACAGCAATGCTAGAAGCTGCAAAATGCTATTCTTCGGCTCCCAGATGCAGTTTGAGAGACCACATGCCGTTTCAAGGTCGTAAGAACGCCATGGTTGCAGGTATTCTGTGAATGCCTCTGGATGGTGACGTTTTCTTGTCCAGCTGGTTGTTGCTGTTTCCATTGTGTGAGCTCCCTTTATGATCTGCGTGGTGCCGTTAAGTGCAGCCAATCATATCAACACGGGTTGAAAAAAAGGGGGAAGGCTGTTGAGGTGTCTCTATTCATTTTTCCCCACAAACAAGCTAAGTACTTGGCACTCCTGGCTACTTGCTATTCCTTAAGTGTGGAGGCAGTGGTCTACCTCATGGGAAGCAGAACTAGAGAGAAATATTAAAATATGTTTTTCACGCCAAGCTACTTACACCAGTCTGAGAAGAGAGCCTGTCTCTGCATGTGGAAGTACATCTTTTTCATGCACATAGAGGTGATGGCCACCAGTTGTTAATGAGAGTTGAATAATTTTGAAGTTGATTGTGTCATGCGAAGTGAGGAGATATGGGGAGAATTAAGTGGGATAAGTAACATATATAAATTAGAGTGAAGGAAAAACGATAGAGCTAGAATAACTGCCTGGGAAACAGAAAGAAGGAAAACTGAATGAAAGGAAAATGAGGAACATGGAAGATCAAGACTGTAGTCAATGGATTACAAGTGTTAGTTTTGGCACCTGCTAAAAAGAAATGAAAAAAGGCAAGAAAAAGAATAGGAGCTGGAGGGAAGAAATTAGCAAAGTAAAGTTGTTTGAAAAAACAAAATTAAACATAGATAATGCCTGTTAAGCTGCAGTAAGGGCAAAGCAGGCACAATGGATCATCTGTGCCACTGTTGTGGAAATTGGTACAGAGGACTTAATTGGTGAAATATCAGGTAATTTTGTACAGGTTTTCATCAAGCTCCGTGTGAGGTTAATCAGTTAGCAGCCAGTGTTCTAACACTTTAACCAGTCTTTTTCTAGTCTCTTGTCTGAGTTTGTTTTGAGATAGTTTTAGGCCACCCTGAATATATAATTTCATCCCAGTTTGCATCATATTATTTGAGGTATTCTTGAGTTAATTGCCAGATGGGTTGCCTACTATCTTCCTTTCTTGAACAGTAAAATATATTCCTTTGTTAGGAAGTTTGTCTACAAGCAGGTGATCTCTGGAGAGGAAGTATTAGTTACTCGACCAAATACAAAGTCAGTTTGTCCAGAACTTTTTCAGAAGTGAGAAACAAGAAGCAGCAGCTTATTTCAGCTGCAGTTTTCTTTTTAACATTTTGTATGTTTTAGCTTTTGTCATGCACTGTTGCTCTCCTCTAGGCTTGGATATTAAAGTTGAGTACATCATCAGATGTAGGCAGATGCTTAGAAATAGGATGGATTCCCTGCAAATTGCTTATATGACATGACACTTCTAAAACCTTCTTGACCCTTTAGCTCATGTGCAAGGCCTGGTTTAGATCGCAGGCCCAACTCGCTAATAGGGCTGTGTGAAACGGCACTGTTCCATTCTGACTTCAGTTTCGAGGTCTGGATAGAACAGTGTTTTTTGTATCGAATATAATTTCGAGCCTTAACAGCCTCACTGTTTCGCTTCGTCAAAACAGTAAGGCTGTTTTGACGCTGTTTCGACCGTTTCGCTGGACCATGGGGCTGGGGAAAGGAACTCGGCCCAGCGGGGTGGGGAGTCGGCCCAGCTAGGTTGACTCTAGATCATGCCAGGGGTGGGGATCTCCATCACCCCTGCTAGATCATGCGGGGGGCAGGGAAGCAGCCCAACTGGGCTGCTGCCCTGCCGCTGCGCAATCTAGCGGGGGTGATGGAGAGGCAGCCCAGCTGGGCTGCCTTCTCATCCCCTGTCGGATCTTGCGCTGGGGATGGGAAGTCAACCTAGCTGGACTGACTTCCCATCCCCAGCACTATGGTCGAAACGTTTCGACTAGCCTCGTCTTGTTTTGAGGCTATTTCAACGGCCTTTGTTTCGTTTTTGCTGTTTTGATTTGGCAGGTTTAGGGTCAGTTTGGGTGGGGAGGGTTCCAGGCTACAGCTCCAGGCCTAGGGGCTGAGAGGATAGCCCCTAGAGGGGGGCAGTTGGAGAGGAGTGCCTCTGAGGCAGTGCTAAGTGGGGGCAGCAGCCACATCAGCCAGGAGAGTGGGATCCCAGCACCAGGTGCCCAGCTTTGCACTGCCATGTCAGCAAGAGGTATGCCACAGCTTGCCCCGGCCCTTCCCAGCACAACTCCTGGCCCATGGGGAGCAACAGGAACACCTTGGCCCAGGGCGCTGCCCTGCTTGCAGACTGGGAGCTCCTCTGAGCAGGACCTGGCACTGCGCCCCGGGGGCTCTGTACCCAGCCCTGCCCCTCAGATCCCAGTGTGCCAGGCTGCCCTGCAAGGTGAGGCAAGAGCTCCCTGGGCCCCTGGCTACAGGCAGCCAGTCCTGGGGGATGGTGGGCTGGGGAACATGCTGGGCTGGGGGGCAGATAAGCCCCCACTGTGCTGGGGGAGGACCCATGTGGTTCATCCCCCTGCTACAGCTGCCCTGCGCCTGTGGATTGGTGCCACAGGGGAGTGCTGGCCTCTGGGGGGTGGCTTCCCCCTCCTGGGCCAGGCTCATTGGCTAGGCACTGCTGTGGCAGGAAGGGAACAGAGGCCGTGTGGGCCCCATTTTTCATTTTGTTTCACAGAGTTCCCTTGCTGGGGAACTCTTCAGCAAGCGGCCATACCATGGGATTTTGTTGCAAATCGCATTTTTCATGAAAATCACTTAATTTTGTAGTCTTCACAAAAAAATAAAAAAAAATGCAAAATCACAATTTAAACCAGGCCCTCCCTACTCATGAGCAAAACATGTGAAAGACGTTTTTTTTCCTCCTCCCAGCCTCAGCTTCACAGTTGAATTACTTTGACTGAAGACAGTGGAATCAAGAGACATTTTGGCCTCTTGTGGTTCTCCTCATGTTGTACTTCAGATCTTGCAGATAAATTGGTTTCCACGGCAATTTCTGGTTGCAAAAATTCTCCAAGTCCTGTGAACATAAGAGAATGGGCACGAATTTGAATATTTTCTGTTTCAGGTGTTATCGTAGTGTTGGGCATCTTAAATGGTAATCTAGCAGGAGATGCTTCTTACATTGTTTAAGAGGAAAAAGACTTAAATATAAATGGCCATTCATTAAGTGACTAAGCCCAAGAATAATCATGTTAATGCAGTACTTTTTTACTCGCAGGTAATTTTGTCTTTTATTTTATTACTAGGTGATGGTAATGCCAGAAGGAGCAGAAACTGTGTCCAGGCCAAGTCCTGACTATCCTATGTTACCCACAATACCACTCTCGGCCTTCTCTGATCCCAAGAAGACCAAACCATCCCATGGGTCAAAGGTCAGTGAGGCATGTTATGCAGTCATTTTGGTTATTTGGAATTCTACTTCTGGAAATTCCCCTTTTTTCTTTGTGCTGTTCTCTTCTAAGCAGCGAAGTTGATTTCCTTGGCATCATGGAAGAGAGACAGTCTTCAGGGATCATTGTTGCCATTCTCAGTTTCTGGCCTGTTAAGAACCACATAAGGGCCTCTGAGGGGTGGGGGTTCCTGTCTAATAACTTATCCATTCACCCACACAGATTTAGGTAGTCCCAGTACACCACAGCAGTAGTTCTCAACATTTTTAGACTCAAGGCACCCTTGGAAAATGCTAGCTTCCAGCTTTCACTTGTTGACAATGGAGCAATTCTTTGGTTGCAAAGAACTAAGAATGCAGCGTCAGAATGTTTTTGATGCTGTGGATTTCTTTTTGAAAAATCTCGAGTTTATCTTGTGACTCTGATAGGTGTGCATATGCCTGTAAATGAGGTAATATTGCATGGCACCCTTAAAATGATCTCATGGTTCCCTGGGGTGCCATGACACCTTGATTCCTTTAGAGTTCTTGTGATTTGCTGCTCCCTTTGAAGTGAAATTTTAGAAAAATGAAAGAGAAGTTTGAGGAATTTTAGAGAACTGGGATTGCACAATGAGCTGCTAGAGCTGGTGGTTCCCTAGCCTCGGTCTAAAACCAAAATCAAGTTCTTTCTGACCATTGGATCTTTTTGCTGCATCTCAGAAGCTGTGGTCAGAGTGCCTTAGGATTTCAGCCTCATTCCAGCAGGGGAGAGGCCAGCTAGAGCAGGGGTGCTCAACCTTTGGTTGCCATCAGAGCCATAGGTATCCAGCCCGCAGGGCTCCCTACCGGTCAGGAAATTTGGTGCAAGGGAGTACTGGTAATAAATATGCCCCCCACCACCCTGCTGCCAAATTCCCAACTCTGAGCCCTGCACAGCAAGTTAGGGCCAGGTCATGTCCCCTTTCCCCCATAGAGCTGGGCCCCCTGCCTGCTCCCTCCCTTCTTCCTGGCTCCATGGAGCCAGGTTGGAGCTGAGATGCCCCCTCTCCACCTCCCTTATGTTAGATTGGGACCATCAGCCTGATCTGGCTCGTGGGCAGCCTGGGCACTGTCAGCCCGGGCTGTGGACCAAAAAGGTTGAGCGCTACTGGATTAGAGAATCAAAACTTCCTCCATTCAGCATTAGCTTATTCCTAATGCTTCAGAAGAAGCTGAAATTATCTTTCCACTAACCTAACGCAACCAGGTTTGTATATAGGTAGTTAAGTCTGTGGGAGGTAACTCTCTCTTAAGATATTGCATTGCATTTTGTCCTAGTCTGCATAACAAGAAACATTAGGTGAAACCCTTCTGTTTTGTATCCAGCCCCCATCATCTATGTTCCCTATGGTTCCTAAACTTGAGTTGCATTTTTAGTTTCTCCTGATGCTTATGGTATGCAGCAGGGTAACAGTGACTTGTTTGATAGTGACCAATTCAGTTTCTTCTTGACAGAAATCAAACACTAGGACATGATGAATAGGGAATAGAAACTAAGGCATTTGTGTGCATGCTTGCTATTTGGGTTGGTCTAATAAAAGATATCAAATTCACCCAAGGAACCTTGTCTGCCTGTGTCCTTAGACCAACACGGCTACAACCTAAACCCCTGCTTGCACCACAGTTGTTTAAGTGATGTAATGCGCTTCAGCGCTGAGAAAATGGTGGCGGTGTGCTTTTGAACTAAAACACATTGGAGGTGTTTTAGTTCAAAAGCGCACCACTGCTGTTTTTTGCATGTTGACACGCATTTTGCCACTTATACAACTACACGTGGTGCACGTCAGCTCACCTGTGGAGCAGACTCGATTAATCAAGTTGCTCTGACCCGCCAGATCTCCAGTGCATTGCAGGACAAAAAGGTATGTGTAGAAACACCTGCGTTTGAGAGACTGTTGTTACTCTGTTCCATATTGACTCTCCTCTCCTGCCATGATGGCTGAAGATCATGTGTGCCCTTGAGTGGGCTGGTCACCCACAAGTGAAAGCAGACTTACTCCCTCCCCATAATGCTCACCTGTCCCTGAGACACCGATTCCATCTGATCTGTATGTATTGCTTGTAGATAAAGATTAATAGTGGTAGCAAGCCTTGGTTCTGTCATAACTATCAGAGACCTTATTGTTTTTGCCGAGTTTCAGTATAGGATGAGTTGATACATTGCACATGTTGGAGCAGGCTGCAACTTTAGCTTGCTCTGGCAGAGTAAAATACTTAGCTTTGTAAGCTTCTTGTTTTGTTTCTAGAATGCCTGTTTTAAAAGAATACCTTAGTGTAAAAGTTCATTTTGTTTTACACTTGATATTGTCTCCTCCATGGTTCATGCACATTTGACTAATAGTTACAAATGGGTCTTAGACTTTTACCTAGCTTCTGTTCCTGAATTTTTAGGATGCAAGCAAGGACAGTAGCAAAGTATCCAAACCACATAAAGTAACCAAGGAGCATAGAGAGAGGCCAAGGAAAGATTCTGAGAGCAAAAACTCCTCCAAAGACCTCGAACGAGAACAAAACAAGCCTTTGAAAGACTCCTCTAGAAAGCCAGCTGAGAACAAACTGCCTAAGGAGGAGAAAGCACCTCCTAAAGCTGCTTTCAAGGAACCAAAACTGGCTGTGAAAGAGACCAAACTGGAGAACACTTCTCCAAAGGGTGGGCCACAGCCGGAGTCGAAGTCTTCCAGCAAAAGGCCCTCCAATGTGGAGTCACCAAAGCCTAGTGCCAAAAAGCAAAAAAAGAGCAGCTCCAAAGGGGGGAAGAACATCCCAGGGACTTCTCCTCGAACCTCGTCTTCCTCATACCCAGAGAAGAAGCAAACCAAGGAGAAGACGAATGCCAAAGTGGAAAAGGTAAAATCAGAAAGTGAAGCCAAGGAGATCAAAAAACCTGTGGAGATGGAGGAGTCGAATTCAGAGGACGAAACTTCTTTTAAGTCAGAGGTGAGAATGGGTTCTTCTTTTTGTCCGGGTTGTTGAGCCTTGTGGTGTGACACTTAGAAAATGCTGTACAGCATCCAGAGACTAAGGTGGCAGTCAGATTGGCCTTTGCATAGCTACACTTCAAGCAAAACTGCAGTGCTCAGAGTTCACAATTGTTGTGATTCCTGTCCTCCCTACCTAGTTTTCCTACTGCTTCACATATGCAGTGCTACACAAGGATTTGCCTGCAATCACAGTTAATCTTGAAATGCATGTCTAAGTTATAGTCTCATCCATATTTGGGTTCTTTGAAGTGACATTTACAGAATAGGGGTACAAGCCTTATGTCCATTTAGCATCTTTGAAATTGTGGTTTTGAGCCCTGCCTGATCCCAATGTAAAAATGAGAGCATTAATCTCGGGGTTGTTGGGTTTTTTTGGTTTGTTTGTATGGTTTTTTTGGAAAAGCTATATAAAAATAAAAAAAGGAATATAGTGACTTGTCTGAGGCTGATGCCAAGAGCAGAGAATATAGTGCATTAGTCAGTGCTGCCAGACACTTGCTAACCGGAGGACTTTGGTCTGCTGTGCTAAGATTTCTAATAAAGTTGGGTACCTGCAGTGACTGGTCTACACGCCCCCTAGTAGGACTTAGCTATATCAGCATTGACTTATTTTAGGAAGTTTAGTCATACGGTGTAGACGTCTAGAGCTAAGGGAAGCTATGCTCCTTTCCACTCCCTCGTCCCAGCCCTCTTGGTAAGAGGGAGGGCAGAGTTGCTTTGCTACCCCTCCCCTTCCTTGGGGGCTTGGAGGTGGGGAATGCTGTCACTTCTCTTAAGTGGTGTTGTTTAATACTTATGCACTCCATTCCCTGTTCTGAATCAAATCACAGCAGCATTCTTCTTGTGCCTGGTGGAATAGTCAGTCCACGTGTTCTGCTCCTTGCTTCGTGTTCCTTTTTCTGCCTTTCAGGTGCACAGTACTGGAAGACTAAACCATGGGCAGGGCTTGGCTTACTGTCTTGCCATTTTAGGTAGCTGTGGAAGAAGTATTCCCTCCACTTTACCTTTTTTTATTTCTGCATCAAACTCAAATTGGCATTGTGGTAGAGGAAGGGTCTCTACATGTGCTGCTAAGAGTCAGAAAGTAATTGGAGCATTGAGAAAAATATACTTGGAGCCTATTGAGGCATTAAGCCCATGTTTATACTATTTCCCTATCTTGCCTAGAGTTGGGAAATAAACCTGCCAACTCACTCCTAAGGCCACCAGTAAAAACCAGTAAAATGCAGTCCTTTGTCTCGGGAGAACCTGAGAGTGGTGCCAGCATGAAGGCTCACTGCTATTGGAAGCTGCACCTCATTTCTGGGCTTTTGTATGTTTAGAGT